ATGGTCTTTATGTTGTGTTAGCAAGGGGCAAAATACAAAAAAATGTTCCCCCTCCCAACAAAAAAACCCCAACAAACCAAACCACACAACAAAAGGAGGCTAGCAGATTTTATCTCCTTTCCTCCCTCTTCCCTTCAAAAATCAAGCTTTACAAACGCTCTCCAGAGGGAGATACTATACACAGAAAATTACAGCACCCCAAGCAGGAGGAGTGGAAATTGCTCACCCTGGCAGCAGAGCACAGCCCTTCCTTGCGAAGAATCCAGCCACCATCCTGGACTGGCCTCACCACAAGTATTTAGGAGTTAATAATAACCTTGCAAAATGAAGAGCTCCACCCCCTGCAGTACGCAAAACACTACTAGAGTAACGCCTGTGACAAGGATGCTTCCGGGTAAGTCTCATCACTGGCCAAAACGGTTCAAAGAAACTTATGAACAAAACAAAAAAAAAGGAGAAGACAAACACATCCCAAGAGATGTTTTACCCAGGTTCGTAAGCCAAAATATCAGTATTTGTCATCACAAACAGCTGTTTGGTTCACCTGTTAAGTTTTAAAACATATTGTTTTTACATTTGGAGCCTTTGATGCTACAGCAAAGGGAATCCCCTCCACAGAGGGGCTGCCTGTGCTCGTGGAGTGGCTGCCTGCAAGCCTGAGGAAGGCTCAGGTCATTGGTGTCTGAGAAGGGGCACTCACACCTCTGCACTGTGCACCTCAGGGAAACTCCCTGCACCACCAACTTGCCCAAAACCAGGCTTTTGCCAAGTAACTCACCTTGGTCACAGAAACCTGTCCTCTAGTGCTATGTAATCCAAAGAAGTGGCTTTCCCAGGAGGGGACAATCCTGCAGGATACAGCAATGCCCCAGATGGGAACTGTGCTGCTAGCTCAGCATGACACGGCTCAGCGCACAGGCTGCTGCAAGGACACTTGGTCCAGGGAGACAACTAGAACCCCCTAAATCACCTCATTCCCCTCTGGTCATTCCCTGCCTGTTTTAAACTCCTACAAGAAAGCCTAAAAAACCCGTGATGGCGTTTTCTCATCCTTTGTATATAGTAAACAGGATGTCCTGCTTCGCCTTCTGCAGCTCATAAGCCTTTGTCAGCAGCCTGTTCAAACACCTTTCTGGATTTGGACTTTTAGAGACAGATGGCGAAGGACCCAGTCAGCCAGTCTGCCCCAGCAGACACTTTTCAAGTCTACTTTGCCACAGTGAACATTACAAGACTGTCAGGAGCACACCCATACGTGATTACTGCACTGCACAGACATCCCTGTGCAGCACACAAAATCACAGTGCTGCCCTCATAGGAGAGATGCACATCCTGCCATGGCCTTCCTTCAGATGGTTCCTTTTGACGTCCTCAAACCTCTTTCTTTCCAGTCAGCCCTATGAGCAGTGCTCCCAGCTCTCTGCTTTTACTATTTCCTCACCCTTTTCTGAAGCTCACTACCATAAACTCTCCATTACTTTCAGTGTTACCATCCCACATGAGCTAAACTCAGCTACCCAAACATCCACAGAAACCACCACTGCAGTCTCAGCAACTTCCACCTTGGTCTATCCCATCACAGTCAGCATGTATAAAAGTCAAAACTCTCAATATTCAACGCTGGTTTTTATTGTCCCAGATATACACACCACAGTGAGCATCTATGACTGTGTAGCAACACAATCCTCCCAGCGTACAGAGCTCCACAAGGATTTAAAGTTCAGAGGCTGTCACAGCTCATTAAGGAGGCATCAGTTTCAGGTGCAGTTTCTCCTCACACAAAACTGCCCTCAAAATTCACACCCAAAAGCCACAGAAGTCACAATGTTCTGTTTTCTTCAACAAGATTTCATTACTCTCTATTTACTAAGATTGCTCAGAAAGGCATAGAATTGCACCCTGATCAGACCTGAGAGCTTTAAACTAGTGTGTCAATATACAAGCATACAAGTGAAAGACACTAGCAAGAGGGTCATGGACCTACAGTCTTCTGTTGACACAGTTGATCCTGCACCAGTAGTGAGCAATCAGGAAAGCAGTGAAGAGTTAAGTGTCATTACATTCATTCACCTTATTTATGCAGTAGGTGCCCATGAGAAGTTGGGTCTTTATCGACACACATCCTGTAACATTCTGGTTCTCTGTTTCACTTCAAGCACTTAACTACATCTGGGTGAGGACATGCTCCCCACTTCCCAAGCGAGCCAGCTGCACCCTTCACTCGCTCAAACATCAGTGACAAAAGCCTGCTCAAGAATATACATCTGTTTCATGTACGGCTCATACAGCTATTTTAAACAGTTTCCATATGTTGCCAAAAACTGTGACCAAATGCCACTTGCAAATAAATGGGGAGATTGTCTGGCTTCCACAGAGAAAAGTTTCATCACACAGCTTCAGAGAAATAGCTCTTTTGTTCCAAGGTCTGCCTGGGCTTGCCCAGCCGCTTCTACAGTCAGATGCTGCTGACTGGTTCAAATGCTGTCTCCTCCTGATATCGTGCCACCACAGCAACATGCTTTGTGGACCACAGTGAGCAGACTTTGGAAAAAACCTGTAAGGAACACCTCAACACGTGAAGATCATCTATGAGGTCAGGCAGCGCAACCACCCCTGCTCCTGATTCCAGAGAACTTACCCATAGGACAGGCATGCTTTTTGCTCAGCCCTCATCCAGACATTACCATCAGGTGCTAGGCTGTAGCTGTTAGAACTCCTCAAAGCATAAATGAAGCTCTGGGGCTCCATGTAAGCTATAATTCTATGTTTCCGCATTTTGCCATGCCATCTGAAATTAGTATCTCACTTTTAATATACCCATTATGGCTTCCTGCTCAGGTCCAGCCTACAAATAGGTAATTTGCCATATTACAGCTGGACCACATCCAAACTAATGGTCTGTAGCTGGGTAGATGGGAGGACTGAGTAAATAGACAAGTAAGGCCTTCACTCAGGGGTACTGCTCTCCAAAAGGTAGATCTGGTCAGGGAAGCAAGCAATAAATATCTCTGTTTAAAAATGCAGGGGAGGCTATTAGAAGGATTTAAAACTTCAATGGGGAAAATACCTGGACACCACCATTTTCCTTGTCAATAATGGCATGTTATACTTGCACCCCAAGAAAGTGCAGTACGGAATCCGTGCCTGTTGGAACAGGCCTTGCACAGCAACACCCGCCTCACCTCTTTAGACAAAGCTTGCTGAAGCAGGTACCAAACAAATATCCCAAAGAGCCACCCAAAGATATATTTCTCAGCCTGTCCTGAAGAAATGAAGCAACTTTTTTGGTCACAGAATCCAAAGTAGAGCCGGATGTCCCAGATCCCCATCCCAGTGTTCCACCATTAGGTAGACCACATGCTCCTGGCCAGCAACAAGGTGCTGGAGTTACCTTCCTTCTCTTGAGGCTGAAGGGTTTCAAGTCCTTTCAATTTCACAAGGCAGTCATGCTACAGAAAGGGCAGTCAGACCAAGGAAAAGACAAGAGTTCTTCACATTCATCCACGTTCACTTGCACGCTGGGCTGTCTCCTGCTGCCCAAGGCAAGGGGATTGACATCCACCAAAGCTATCCTACTCCTATACCCAGTGGATGTCCCCAGGCATCTCCTCCCTCTTTGGGGAAGCTGTCAGGGACCACAGGCATAGTTAACTGAAAGTCCCCCTCAAATCTGACATAGGGTGAAGCACATGAAAAATTACTCATGCAATTGATTCACATGGTTTCCATCATTCATAAATTCCTTATGCATAAAAGGGAGGCATAGGATTTGCACATAACCGATACAGACAGCTGCAGACTTCACTAGTCAGTGAGTGCCTGCAGGCAGAAGCCGCTCCTCATGTAATCCCATTAAACAGCTGGAATTAATGAAAATGCTGTGCGATTCAGCATGCTAATGGCAGCCACCTCTGCTTCCTCCACTGTCAGTGCAGAGTTCTCTCCAGTTCAGTCTCTTCCCGTGGGCCCAAATTACAAGAGTTACTTCATGCCCTGAACTCTGCAGGAAGCCTACAGCACATGCAAGTATGAGGCTACAGTGATAGAAGGCTGCTCTCAGAGAGTGCTAGGAACATATCCATGCTCTCCATCACAGTATGTCTCCTCATGGTAAGATGCAGTTTTTGGGGATATCACTGCAGAACACACAGGTCTTCTCATGAACAGAAATCAGTACACTAGAGATTGGGTACAGAAGGAAAATCAACACACTGCCATCTCCAAAGGCAAGGTAGTGGAATTCATACAAAATATAGTTGTTAGTAGACTCAGCTCCAGACTGGAATCAAAGGCTCTGAAACCAAGAGGATCTCAGGTAGAGGCTGTTTGCCATTTAAAGGCCCTTCATGGCATTCAGCATTGTATCAGAGCAGATGTGAAGAGCCAGCACAAAACTATAGTGCTAAGTAATTTGAAGGAGGCACCATTAATCCTTCACCTCCCAGGGAAGGCCAGAAAGAGAGGTCAGCCTAACAGAGCTCTGTCCCCTCATGCAGCAAGACTGGCTTAAAGCATCCAGCAGAAGATGACATCCAACAAGGTTTATGGTTCATGCATATGCAAATATGGTCTACCTTACACACCTACATGAACCACTAACTCATTCTTAGTGCCATCCAGTCACATTTGATCATTAATACCTAAAATCTCCTACAACTTCATGGAAATTGGAGGGTCTCTCAGTGAAGATTAACTACAGCTATGATTGTCCAGACAAGCAAGCACAAAGAGACAAGCACATGCACAACAGAAATACCATCTCACTGTTCATGCAGCTTGTAGAATAGTTGGTTTACACTCCCAGAGGCAGCTGGTTTTATCTCTTTTCCCCCTCTCCTCCTTCCCAGTCACTTGTTACTATGGCCTCTCCTGTGCTACCACAATCATTCACAGTACTGGGAAGCAACACAGTAAAAACCAGCTTGGTTTTACCACTCACTAAAAAGCAGTTTGTTCTCAACCAGGTCAGTCCCTCTTTGCACTCAGTTCCCACAGCTCACCAATACTGGAAGAAGTAAAATGGGAGGGAAGACTGTCTTCCTCAGCAGCATCCCAGACTTAAGCCAGAATAAAGTGGCCACCACTGCAGTGCCAGTGGACATGGCTGGCTTAGACAGCAGCTGCTGAGTCCTCCTTAGGCAGTGGGTGGTCTTCTACTCCAGTATGCCCATCCCTCCCTTTCCAGGTTTGTCCTGAAAACAAAGCATCACCCAGAGTTACTCATCCCAGGCCTTCACAAACATTCACAGGGCTACATTAAATTTACAACTGTATAAATATACAAATATACACCATAACCACTTCTGGTGGCCATCCCTTATCTGAAATACCCCAGCTGTACCCTGTGCATTAGCCTAGTCCTGTCTGTGCCAGAGATTCACTCCCTCCTTTGGGGCAGCAAGTACTTGGTACTATTGCAAGTGATCAATATGCTTTCATGTCGAACACCCAGAAAAGCACAAAGGTAACAAGGAGCCTTGGAAAAACTGGTGCCACAGCTGGAGCCTTGGAAAGACTCAAGACCTTGTAGGAATACGGATGCAGAGCATTAGCGCACACTCTGCCATGGGGCCACTCGGCTGTCTAAAACATGGAGGCTTTTTTAATCCTTGCTCGGTGTATACATCCCTGGCTCTGCAAGAGAGAGGATCCCTGTCATTGTCAGTCCCCTTTACCCCACAGCTGGATCTATTCCAGGAGCAGCATCATACAGTCATATAATTAGTGACTATTGCAACACATAAGCAGGGCTGGATTGAAGGTGCAACAGAAAACTTCAATTTTGACATTTCCTAGCCTTACTAAAATGTCTTTACTCAGGGAATGAAGTCAACTTCTTTCCTTGACAAGCTGTCTGTGCCCCTGGATAGCAAGCAGTCTTGTGTCAGAAGCATGTCTGTCTGAAGTGGGATGTTGAGGTTTGACAAAAGCAGGAAGCGAAGGGGAGAGGGGACAGAGCTGTCTATATGAGACAGTTGCCAGAATTTAACAGTGCCAGTAAGGTCTCCCTGCATTAGCCTTGCTCTGAGGCAGGGAAGCCGTTTTATGCCTCAGGCTCTGAAAACACTTCCCAGCCCCAGGCAGACCAATGTCAGGAGAAACTCTAGCCCCAAGAGCTGCAAATTAGAAACTAGTTCCAGTTTCCCACAGCCTTAAGCCAGGCCTTGCCATGAGCACCCCTGGGCATCAGCAGAACAGGGGATCACCAGACCTCGTGGAAAAAAGGAAGGTACCAAAAATGGGAAGTGGCTCATTTATTGCAGGACATTTATGCTGGCTCAGAAAGAAGACTCAGTGCTCAGGCATTTGTTCCAGTGGCTGCTGGTTTTCAACACCTCCTGCTTCTCCAGAAGATGCCACTGACAGGGCATTAGCTCAGCAGGAGAGACCAAGGGAACTGTAGCAAACCCCTTTCCCTCTGACCATTAGCAGAAAGGATGAGCAGGAAGATCTGCCCTGGCTTGCCCTCTCAGGGAGCAGGATTCCCACGCCAGCTATGGATCAGTAGAAAGCAAAATGCAAGCACTTTCCAGAAGGTCTGCCCCCATTAAAAAGAGTTTCCAGATACTGAGCTATTGTAACCATCCAGCAGCAGCAGATCTGCTCCCCGTCCTGTCAGTCATCCCTCTGCAGCTACATCAAACCACCACAGTTTTTAACCCATCAAATGCCAGTGCTTCCCTGCATGGTACACACCCATACTTTAATATTAACGTGGCATAAGTTTAAAACCATCACGAAGCAGCATTGCCTAGCATGGAGGTCTTCAAGCTGTACTCTTCTGATTCCCCTCCAGATTTTGCATAGACCTGCAGTATAGTGGGGAACAAACCTGCATCCACTCTTCATCCACCTGAAAGAGGACAGAGCTCCATCACCATCAGACACTGAAGAGGCTAATGCACTGGTAAAAAGGGATATTACCAAGGTCTGGAACTCTGAGGAAGTTTAGAAATGTAGTATTTAAGGAAGTTCAGAAAAATGTAACTCAGTTCCCTACATACCACTCCTCAAACAAAGCAACCAACAGATGACAATTGCTTCTGCACACTCAACTATACAAGTAGTCTCATGTCCATTCATTTATCTGGACACCACTGCCCTGCATCAGTCTTCACTGGACACATTCAAATACTCCACAATCATGCAGTATGCACCCCACTCCATAGATATGTTGACATGATGGAGACTGTTGGACTACAATGCTGACAGAGGGGTAATTTAAACATGTCAAACCGATTTTTATATTACTCAGCCAGGAGGAAATTGAAAGCACCAAGATCCTTAAATTTTCTGTGTCCTTAGCAGGACCTGCTGTAACAAAAGGATACTGTAAGCACCAAAAAGAAAGCTTGCATCCAGCACAGAGATTTATACTTTGTTTAATGCTGGTTAGGCAGGATGAGTATAGTTCACGGTGTCCTTTCACATCAAAGGTGCAGGACATGGCACAGCTTTCGCACAGGAACTGAGTATCATCAGATGGAAAACCAGTATTTCTATGGCTGGTGATGGCTTCACATGCTAAGGCTGGTGCTGTCTCCTGATGAGCTCTGACTGCACAGAAAGGTTCCAAGATCAGTGACAGAAGGTGGCACAATGTGTCAGAGAGCAAAGGAAAGGGGGAACATATCAATGTATTTCTCTGGGTTTATTGCTAGCAGGCCCTTTTACATCTACACACTAGATGTTGAAAATCAGTCATGACTCATACGAAACCTCACCTGCTTCACTAGTCCCAGACACAGGGCAAACAGCCATTGGGAAGTTTGGAGAAGACAACCCAAGGAACTTCACAGATCTAGAAGCAATAAATAAACCCCAATATATTCCCCCAAGAGAAAAAACAATGCACTGCACTAAATACACATGATTCTGCCATCAGCAGAGAATACTGTGTATAAACTAGCTGAAGGAGGTGCACTGTCACGGCATGCTTGCCAAGTGCCATCAAAATTAGGACAGATTGTGAACTTCCACAAGCCAGGAAGTGATCCTATCCATTGTTCTTTAAAGCTGCTCTTCCCTAGTCACCCCTAGCTCCTAAGCAGAATCCCAAACTAGCTGAAAGTCAGTTATAAGCTCATATAATCAAAGTTTTGCTCTGGACCAGCATACTATGGGTTCAGGGCAAGCCACAGAACCAACTCACCCAGAGCACCATCTTCATGTTTCCTTCTGTTGACCCTGATAGAAAATGCATATTTATTCTCACACACCTTCTCAGCCCCAACCAACACAGCTGAATGAGTACTACTAGAGATCTACTACTACTGACTCTACAAACATACCCTTTTTTATTCTTCTTAACCTCATTAGTTCACCCACTGACTGTCCATGTGATGAACACCACCTGCAGCCATCTGTCAATGCCACAACACGGAGCTACCTGTCTATGTCCACCATAAAACCATACCACAGCCGCCAAATGCTTAGCTGAGACTGGGTAAAGAACAACTTATCATCTTTCCCAGGGGTCCTGTATTCAAGGCACAATGTGCTTCCCTGAAATCAGGCCCATCACAAATACAAGGTGCTTTCTGAAACCCCACCTCCATCCACAAAACCTCACCAAAAAACTAACAAAGTAGCAGGAGTTTCAAACTTCCAGTACTAGAAGATGTTCAGATACTACACTGTCCTACCTTCCATCACCTTACATCACAATTTGTTAGACACTTTCCTGGAGAGGACAGGAGATGGGGAAGCAATGGCATGCACCTCCACTAGTCATCCCCTCTCCACTGCAAGAAAAGTAATGGGCAGATTCAAAATTATCCCTCAAACCTGAGTGGTCCAATACTCATCTGCAAAACATGCTGCAAAGCAGCACTAAGCAATTTCCATCAGGTGTGGAGCATGGCTGCTACTGCCCTCAACATTTCCCCTCCTTTTCCCCAGCCAGTGTGATCTCAGAGTTCTTAAAGAAAGGATTTTCTTGCAATAGCAAAGGATGAGTATTTTCTGCTATTAAACACAGCTGTGTTCTTCTGAAACCTCCCCAAGACAGAGACAACACATGAGAAGCTTTGGTCTAAAAGGACACAAGAATGGGAGCTGGTAGGCAACACTAACTAAACCTCTACAACACCTGATGCACTAACTCACAAGCGAATAAGAAAAGAGTAAAGGGATGCTGCAGTTAAGCTCTGGCACTTCTCATCCCAGGAGGCTGTGGATGCTAAAACCTTACAGAGATTCAAAAAGAAAGGAGATGGAAGACAAAGCTATCCAAGATCATTAAAGACAGTGAACCATCTCTGGCTCTGGGCCCACTAGAGTCAGGGACACTTTTTGGCCATATCACTGTTTCACCCTGCTTTTCTCTACACCTCCCTTGGCATTTGCTGCTCTGTCCTGACGCTTTTGCAGCACTTGGGTATTTCATAGCTACAGCTCTGCTTGGTGTGAAATGGAAGAAGCTGCCAGGTTTGGGCTGTCCCACTGGCTCATCGTTTGAGGTAGATCGTGACAAATGTGAGAGGAAGATGCAGGGCCTTGAAGACAGGTCTGAAACAGGCTACTGAGTTTGTTTTAAGGCAGAACAGTCATTCTTAAGTATTAACCGTACATTTCTACGGGATCATTTTAGCTTTAGCAAAGCTCCAAATACAAAGGAACAGATTTAAAAAAGGACTTTAGAAAGTATTTTCCAAGTACTTATCCATACCTTTAGGCTGCCACCTAACTTTAAAATTCTAGTATGAACTGCCTTCAGTTGAAAAGAATAATTTTCATAGGGGGCCTTTAATAAAACAGCAGGATGTAATAATCTCTGGGATGTTCCTAGAGAGGTCACAGTAAAACATGCAGCATGTTGGGCACTGAACAACAGGGCAAGGTATGTAGGATGAGAAAGAATAATGTGGTTATCAGCTGGGAAACTACTGAACATGCAGAGCCACAGATCAGTCTTCATGGCTGGAAAGCTTATCCAGTTGCCCCCACTTGTATTTTTTTCAGACCCAGGTCAGAGAGCCACAGTAACAGGCTGGATCGTTCCTGCGAAATCCTGAAGCAGCAGAAATGGTTTCAGAAATGGAGAGGGTGTTCAGAA